TTTTACTCAATATTTGTACATGGTTCTCAACATTTGCACATATTACTGACCATTTGTACACAACAAGTATGTTCAGATGTTTAGTCAATATTTTCATGCCATTATTTGCAGGATGATACAACAAACATATGTTGATATGGAGAATATGTTTGACTTATTAGATGTTGAACGAGAGGTAAATATTAAACACCAAATGTAAATAAATTAACCCATGTCATATATTGTACATATAGTTACATATTATGTATTGTTGTCTATGTGCATCATCAATGAATTACACCATGTCATGTGTTTGCTGCATATAGTGTGGTAACTGTTTTTATTTTTAAGTTAATTTAAAACTTGTGTTCTTCTGTAGATTAAAGACATTCCCAATGCAGTGGATTTGGAAGCTAAGGAAGGCTTGGTGGAGTTTGACCATGTTTGTTTCCATTATACAGAAGAGTAAGTACAGTTGTTTGCATATCATCAGGCAATCATGTACAACCATGTTACACATGTTAAGAAGAATCTTAGCCACTAGCCAAAAGTACATTTTTAGTGAGTTCTCGACGATTGTTTTCACTGGTAGTGGTTGTCAGGTGGTAATAATTCTTGGACGCTAAATTACAACAGTTGTATTTTTACAGTTATTAGAAAATACATCTATTGTTTTTGTTTACTTACTTTGTTGTCTAAATCCAACGTCGTCATGAATAATTAATCATGCTATATTATGTTTCATATGTTGTTTTTCAAAATGAGGCAACTGTGTGCAACTTCTGTAAAGCCATTTATTTTCATTAACGTTTAATTCCACTACTTTAATTTGGCTGGGAAACAATGAGTTTTCTTTTTTGTTTAAATATTCACATGCATTTAATTTAGCAGAATTCAGCGACAGTAGCAAAATTATAGTGCATGACAAACAACAAATTCTCTCATCTTGTCTAGTCTTAAGCTTGATTAAACCTGAAAAAAATACACAATATATATTCGCAGTTGTAAAAACTTCACTACACCTCAGAATACTCTTCCTATATGTTCTATTCTAAACTATGTATCAACTTGGTGTAGTGACAGCAAATCATGAATGAAGCATTTAGCATAATTACCATATGATATCACATTTCAAGATCTTCATTTCATAATTTGTCTTATAATGTGTTACAAAACCAACCAAAAATGATTCAATCGTTTTAGCTTTGTAGGAGTTTTATAGTTTCTGGTATATGTCATTTTGTTCAATCCTTCTGAGAAGTTATGTTAAAAAGTTTGATTTATATGTTATTTCAATGTTTCCTCTTTGCAGAAAACCCATTCTTGATAATGTGACGTTCACCGTGAAACCTGGTAACACTCTGGCATTGGTAGGACACTCAGGTGCTGGTAAAAGTACAATAGTTCGACTTTTATTTCGTTTCTATGACATCCAGGGTGGTTGTATTCGAATAGATGGCAAAGACATTTCTGAGGTTAGTATGTTCTGTTCGGTGTAAACTAGTCGATAGAGGGCATACTTGTCGCTATTGTGTATAGGAATTTCAAATTTTCCTGTGATGAATTTAATCTTGGTCAGAGGTCAAATTTTACGAATATTTTAAATAAATGTAATGTTGAAACTACATAAAATCATTGTTTTTGACAATTCTTTTGTTGCAGATTTCCATAAATAATCAGGCTACCGAGTATTGTCATCAGTAAACTTGTAAAATAACGTGTGTTGTTTTTTTTCTAGGTTACACAAACAAGTCTAAGAAAAACGATTGGTGTGGTACCCCAGGATACTGTACTTTTCAATACAGATATCAGGTATTAATGTGTGTTTACAGAAATCATGACCAATGTGCCTATTTACCCAATTTGACATGTCATTGACTCACATGAAATCTTGTGTTACATTGGTATACATGTGTCACATCAAATTTATGATTTGAACTGCCATACTGATTTGTGATTCCTATGTTAGGTTCTGTTTTCATATACCGGTACATGTTTTAGGAAGAAATATACCTACCTGATTGATCCTTATTTCTCATTCTTTTTCCCAGAACTAATATTCGATTTGGTCGTGTTGATGCTGATGATATAGAAGTTGAGAATGCTGCCCAGGCGGCTGACATCCATCAACGAATCATCCAGTTCCCTGACGGTATATTCTTTTTTTTCTAAAATTACTTTGTATTTGCAAGTGTTACATGATTATGACGATCACAGGTACATGGTCACCATGGTAACAGTGTCATTGTTTTTATGATTTATTTGAGCTCCACTAAAAGTGGATAGTAATACTACACTTTTATTCACTCAATCATTATATTTAATGTACAATGTGTTTTCTCATTTAAATTTAGTAAATGTAAACAATAAAATGGCAGTGTTGATTACGGTCGTGTGTATTTCGTATGACCTAGAATCTGCATAGCATTGTATACATCCATGTATGTGTCAAATGTGTCAAATATACATGCAATAGCCTGTGACCATCATCAAATTGGAACACTGACAACTTTTTAGTATTTATTTGTATGCGTGTTTCAATAAAACATTTTTAAATAAATTAAATTCCATCCAGTGCATTATACCCCAATGCAATATTGAGCAACTATACTGGAAGAACTCATCAAAGTTGAAGAACACTTAACAATATCCATGTCTGTCTTTGAAAAAACTGCATTTTAACGAAATGGTTACAGAATTGAAAAATGCGCACAGCTAGTATACATGTTCTGGTTTGACTGAAAGAATGAATATAGAGTGTAGAAAATATATATTTAAACAATGAATGAAGGTGAGGGATGCACAAGTGTTAAAATTTATTGTTCTTTATTCAGGGTATGATACTGTGGTTGGCGAACGTGGATTGAAACTCAGTGGAGGAGAGAAACAACGTGTGGCTATTGCACGAACTATACTCAAAACACCACAGATTGTACTTTTAGATGAGGTGAGTTTTGTTAACTATTCAGGTAATGATGCTAAAAATATTCGTGATTATAACAATTCAAAACGAAATTTGGTGAAAGTTGGGTTTCTAACTTTTTCTGACATGCAAATATCTTTTACCATCATGGTGGTATCAATCTGTCTAATAGAATTAGCTAATCTTCTTGCGTTCTCTGAATTGCGACAGAATTTTTGTGTATAGTTAAATGGGAAAATAATTTGTTAATGTATTTCCAAGTTATTGCATGTCAAAATGCATGCATGTTTTTTTTTAATTGAAATCATAATTATAATTCATTATTGATACCCCTTTAATTTTTGTCTAATTAAATTATATTGTATGATAATATGAATGTCAAAAAACCAATAAGTGTTAGTTGTTTTGCTGATAAATGTCTAAACGTGGAGAATCATATTTTAATTTAGACATTCTTTAAACTCTCAACACTAGATGAGACTAACAATGATGAGATACAATGAAGTAAATGAACAGTATTTTTTAATTTCAGGCTACCTCAGCATTAGACACACAGACAGAACGCAATATACAGCAGTCCCTGTCTAAAGTATGCTCCAACCGAACCACCATAATCGTAGCCCATCGACTGTCAACTATCATACATGCAGATGAAATATTAGTTGTTGATGAAGGAAAGATCATAGAACGGGGAAGGTGAGTACCATATTTGCCATAATCGAGGGGGAAAAGTCACAAAAGCTCAGACATTTCAATTCCGAAATGACTAGTTCAAATAGTCTGATCCTTTTTGCATGTTAAAATATGATGAAAAATTCACTACGTTCAATTACCCACCATAGACTCCAGTCAGTCAAAATGACTATTTTGAACTGTAGGCATTAATCAGCGATTCTGCCGGTGACGGAGAGATAGAATCTAGATCAGGGGAAGCCCCACGACCCCAAGATTCTCTTTCTTTTACGTCATGAACCACGTGATCGAGGCCATATGGCAGCACCATAGACGGCTGTACAATCACTCTTTCTTTTTCTCCGCATCAACGGGGATGAAGTTTTAGCAGCTCTGCTGGATCGCCTGCCTTTTTTCCTGTTCGGATTTCTAGCTTGGGTTGTTGTCGCTGCACGGCATCCAACATTGTAGCTGGTAGGATAAGTTTTCCTTGGCATTTTTACCCTTGTGTCGTTTTCCCCTTTGTGTGTAGTATTTTTCACAACAAAGAAATTAAAACCCGCCGCCACTACGTAACCACTTGTTGGTTTCGCGGCGGCACCTTTTACAACTGTATTTCGTTTTTTCCCTTATGCATGTCATCTTTTATTTACAATGTATTTAGCAATGTATGGATGTAATGACAGCACCAGGGCTCGCTGCCGTTTTCTTTTTGGTCTCCTCGTGTTTCAAGTCGACTGTGCAGTGGTTATATTCAGAATTTTACCAGCATAGAACCCGCATCTGAGATACTTTGTCATAGCTGCGTGCGGGGTTCAGGGTTTTTGCGTGAAGGTGTGTGTTTTTCACTGGAGTTCTGAGGCCTGAGATTTTCTTTCAGAGCCATCAAAATCGCTGAGACTGACCGCGTCACAGCAAGGTTGCGCGTCAGTAAACAAATCTGTTAAAGTGAGTTGCGTGTTTGGCATGAGTGGAAACTCCTCACACTCTGCTACTGGTGCTTCGTGTACCGGGACGTCGAGTAGGAGGCCCGTTAGTGGAGGTACCGATATTTTTCTCGGTCTCCCCGCTGATCGGAGGGCATCCTCAGTCTGTTTATGCCAGGCAGTGGTTTACCCGATTTTACTGGCTGCAGCGAGCCTCTGTCCCTGGAGGCGAATCCCTTTGTGGACCCTTCCTCGCACGGCGCCGGGTTCGCCTCCGAGTTGAGGACTTTGGTTGAGGGACTGTCGGGGCAATTGCGTCCCTGGCAGGCCGGGTAGATCAGACGCAGTCGGAGCGAGCTGTCTCCACTGCGGCCCCTCAGTGGGCAAGCAGGAAGAAACACGAAAGCATGTTTGCATGCAAACACGTTTCTTCGGGGAACCCCCGTTCCCAGCCGCGGTTCTCCCACTAATTTTGGGTGAGGCTGAGGCTCAGGCTAATTGCACCAGGCCTCCTCTGGAGCCTCTGGCACTGAATGCCAACAGGGTGCTGGCAGCCAAGCCTTCGATCTCAAGGCAGGGCTTTCAGCCAGCTAGGGTTCGTCACGCGGTAACTGTACAATGGTAATGAATTTATACTTGTGTCCGGTCTCCACTGTGGGTTTTGACTTTCTTCTTACCAACCCACGGGCGTCCCCAGAAGGAACCGACCCTGTCATGAGACGCAGAGTCCAACACACTCCCTCTCACATATTTAAAGTGAAAGGAGACGCAGTTCGCTCGTGATGGATACAGCCGGTACTTTGGGTGGTCCCTCAGAGTCTTCCATTCGTACTGACTCGGTGAGCCACGCTTTTGGGGTGATATGGAGTATCAATCCCAGTGATACGATGTAAATCCCAAGGCGACCACCTAAGGTTGCTTCAACGCTTATCGGATCACGGGCCGGGGATCCAAAGCAACCCCGTCGGCGCGTCTCTCCCTGTCCGTCCAAGTGCAGAGTGGGGTGCAGAGCATGCAAACGGTATTGATGGGCGGACGTTGGTCAGTCGCGGAGGACGTAACGCTTAAGGCCCCCGGGTGTGGAAGACATTAGGCAACACTTCCCACTGGACCAAACACTACACGGTCGGTGTGGGACAGGCATGTGTTCGGCTAGTGGCCAGGTCACAACTTCAAGTCTTGGGGAACTCACCTCATGGGAGAAGAGAGCACCCCCCCCCCTCGTAACTGCCGAACCCATGGCCACATATCCCTGTCATACACAGATTGCGCTGGTGTAGTCAAGTTTGGAGACAGCAGGTGATCAATCCCTGAACCTTTCCAGGTGATGACATCTGTTACAGGATACCGCTGAAATCTCCATTTCCCCTGTCAGTGTCCCCCAGTAGCAGTTTGCTGGGAAAAGGTGCCATATACAGGGAACATCAGCCGGAACTATGTCCAGGCTTCTACCCAAATGTGTTCGTACTACCAAATCTACAAGTGGCGGGCATCCAGTTCTGGACCAAGGCAGACTGAATCAGTACATGCTCCTAGATTGGTTCCACATGGAGACACCATTCAGGGTTCTTCTCTCCATCCACCGTTCTGACTGGCTTGTTTTATTAGACTTAAGTTGGGCCTATCTGCACATACCGATGCACCCAGTGAGTTGCCATCTCCTTCGAATCACCCAGCTGGGCCAAGTATTCAAATTTCGGCAAGCTCCTGACGTACGTAACACTCCTGCTGACTCCAGGAGCCTGGGCCAGGGTCACTTTGCTAACCCCGTGGACCCACTTAGTTGTGTATGCCTTTCCTCCCTTCCCGCCAGTTCACCGGGCACCGGAGAAAACTTCGACAGGTGCACACCCGCATATTATCATTGGTCGCACCCAATTGGCCAAGCAAGGCCTAGTTTCCACTTCTGTCGGGAACGATAGTCGAAACACCAGCAGTGCTTCCGGACTTACCGGACCTGCCGTCCCAACCAGACGGCGCACTACCAACGAGCCCAGCAGGTATCACTTACACACATAGAGGCTCTCAGTAAACCTGCACATACGAAGGCCTTATCTGAGCGGGTTGCCAACGTCCTGGCCAGGGCGAACAGGGATCCCACCTACGCGGCCTACATTTCTAGGCTGCGAGCATACACTGGTTGGTCTAGCGGAAGGAAGATTGTTCCATCCCTCTATTGGCCAGGTAGCAGGCTCCTTCGTCCACCTGTTTGACGAAGTGGGTTTGTCCTACGCAGCGATCGTTGGCTACAGGTCGCCCTTGTCCCCCACCATTCAAACGTACGGGAACAAGACTAGCCGATTATTATTAGGAGACTATTTACTGCTTTCCAGACGCTGAGACCCCATACAAGGGAACCGCCCAACTGGGACTTGTTGGCTGTTTTGTCCGCTCTAAGCAGACCGCCCTTTGAGCCTCTCCGATCAGCACCACTCAAATTTTTGATGTGGAAAATAGTCTTCCTACTGGCCCTCGCCTCAGGTAGGCGTCGGCCAGAGCTGGGGGCATTGTCCTCCTTGGATGATGTACCGCCGTTATGGACAATCAAGTTGTGCTAAAGAAACGAATCGGGTTTCTCGCCTAGAACCAAATCCCAGGACACGATCCTCACCTGATCGCCATCCCCTGGCTGTCAAATTTGTTCTGCCCGGAGAGTCAAGAGGATTTGCTTCTCTGCTCGGTATGAGCACGGAGTTGTCACCAAACCGTACCAAGGATTTGGGACGGGGTGCCAGGCACATATCTTTGTGTTATGGCCCAGGCAGGCAGGATAGGCCGGTCTCCCCAACTTCCATAACCAGGTGGTTTACTGCGACTGTATTAGAGGTCTATAATACTTTAACTTCCTCGACACAGAGCTTGCAGAGACACCAAGTACGAGCGCATGAGGTCTGTGCGATTGCTAACGCGCTAGTGCTAGCGTCAGACCCCCCCTCGAGCACACATGGAGGGCAGGCTTCAGGAGAACGCAGAACGTCTTTATCAACTACCAACTAAGAGACACCGAATCCATTGAAAAGGGTCTCTTTAGGTTGGGTCCCGTTGTAGCGGGTCAGTCTTGGTTTGCTGACCCAGCCCGAATGACCGCAAGGGTCCTTGCGCATAGGCAATAAGTCAGTCTTGGCATTTTATGTGGACAGATTTCTCTACCGTCAGCACTCCCCTGTAAGCTCCCAGGTTCTGCTTTGCGGCCTATGCCCTCATGCAGAACTTTTCATCACTTTTCTGTTTGCTCGGAAAACCCGCCACCTATCGACTCTGCCTACAGTTCAAAATAGCCATTTGACTGACGGGAGTCTATGGTGGGTAATTGAACGTAGTGAATTTAGGCGAGGGTTCTCCGAACCTGCCTATTCACACATAGTTCATACCCACCATAGATTCCGGGTCCCCCCCAACCACCCCACTCTTTCCGTAGCGTTGGTCTAAGTCCTTGATGCGGAGAGAAAGGAACCAGAGTGATTGTACAGCCATCTATGGCGCTGCCATATGGCCTCGGTCAAGTGGTTCGTGACGTAAGGGAAAGAGAATCTTGGGATCATGGGGCTTCCCCTGACCTAGATTCTATCTCTCCGTCACCGGCAGAATCGCTGATTATTGCCTACAGTTCAAAATAGTCATTTTGACTGACCAGAGTCTATGGTGGGTATGAACTATGTGAATAGGCGGGTTCAAAGAACCCTCGTGTAAATTAATTCTCTGTTCATTGACTCTCGAGGGTGCTTTTCACTGAATACTTTACCAAAAAAAACATTTATTCTCTTCCCGCAGACATGAAGAGTTACTCGCAGCGGAGGGACGATATGCTGACATGTGGATGCAACAATTACAGAAAGCTGAAGAGGAAGAAGATGGTTCACCTATAGAAAAACTTAAGAAATAACTGAAAACTCCAACATTTTTTGTGTTCTATTGCAATTTCATGTCTGATGGTTACTGATACTGTTTGTTCCTCAGAGCTGAGAACAGTATATGTATTGTATACAAGTACATATAACAATGATGCTTTATCAGTTCTCAAGAGTACATCATCTATACCAAGCTTGTATAGACTATTTTTGTAAATGATGTGATAATCTCAAATTTATTTAATGTGTGTGAGTAGTGTTATTTTTTTGTTTTGTGACAATTTCCACAATTGATGTTAAATTTGAATTACTTGTTCAAATTTTGTCCAGCTTGAACTACAATGTCCAGGCAAATCCAAATCGTATTTCTGGAAGGTTATATTCCATAATATGGAGATATCAATCACACTCTAATCAACCAATTATATGTCGCTGGAAATATTTTTGTACCTGCTGTCATCAAATTTTTTATAAAGGACTTCATTTGAATTTTGTTCCAGTATTCAACAAATGTTTTTCTGTGATTTTATGTCAATAATGTTACTTTTAACATCTTCGAACTGATATTTGAGGTGCACTTCAAACTACAGTGTATCTTAAGACGCATCGGCACTGGGATTATTTTGACTGACTACATATAGCTTGATCTTTCTAAGATATTCAGAACCAGAGTAAACTACTTCATTTTCGTCACATCTTGATGTAATATTGTGGTATGTTGATAGATTATCTTATGTTATGTCTATTCTTTTTGATCTTAATTCTTCATTTGTGAATATAAATTTTATACCAATCTTATTCAAAATTTATAGTATTTTGTTTTGAAATGTACAAAAATTATACTTTCATTCGGTTTCTAAAATTTATGATTCTGTTGTTGCTAACAGATTAATATTAATAAGTGTTATTTTCTCTTAAATGATGTATTGTAACAAATTACCAATTAGAATTATACCCTGGGTTCTGATTTGTGAGTTGCTTTTTCATTGTAGGAACAACTTTGTTCAGAATACGACATTTCAGGAAAGTGCATTTTGTATATATAAATTTAAAACATCTATGGAAGTCATCAATTGTTAGTGTTCTTCAACACCTTAGGTTTATTGGCATTTATTTAAGAAAGTTGATGATCCTTAAACGTAAGGAAGTTGATGATCCTTAAAACGAATAATTGGATTTCTTTGACGTTTACAATATATATTTAATTGATGTCACTAAAATATTTTTCACACAAAAAATAGCTATTTATTTATTTGCTTTTATAGTATTTTCAAATTATCTCTGAATTTTGTTTATTTATGGTTGTCAAACATTTTTGACTCCCATGTGCGAAGCACAAAATGGGAGTCTTTGCAGTTAGTGTGTCTGTATGTGTGTATGTGTGTATGTGTGTATGTGTGTATGTGTGTCCGACTTTTCCACTGCTATCTCAAGAACCATACATCGGTTTTTGATGAAACTTGGTGCATAGATGCTCTGGGCCAATGCGCAGATTTGATTAGGTTTTGGTAAAAATCCATGCTCGTTAATTACCTAATTTGCATGATAATTAGCTAATTTTTAGCTGTTCTATGACTGTTCCACTGATATCTAAAGAACCACTCATTGGATTTTGATGAAACTTGGTACATAGATGCTCTGAACATATGCGCAGATTTGATTAATTTTTGGTAAAAATCCGTGCATATTAATTACCTAATTTGCATGATAATTAGCTATTTTTTAGTGGTTCCATGACTGTTCCACTGATATCTAAACAACCACTCATTGGATTTTGATGAAACTTGGTACATACAGTACAGTTCTCGCGGAAGCTTTGGCTTCACTTCAGCTTCACCTTCGCTTCAGCATCGCATCATTATGGCATTGTTATGGCTTCAGCATCGCTTCAATGTCGCGACATTAAAAAGTTAGAAGATTATCGCTTCGCTTCATTGTGGCCTCATTATGGCGACAATGTGGCATCAGCATCGCTTCATCAAACAAAGAAGTACTGTACTCATTTCCCCCAAACCTCTTGACCGATTCCGCTTTTGACCGGTCAATTTCCGTTTTATTTTCGACCGTGCAAAAATTCGGACTACTAAAAATTTTCTGGTTTTCATAGATCACGGTTACTAGTTTAGTAACCGTGCATAGATGTTGAACAACCGTCAAAAGTTCAAATACATTTTGTTTTAACTATCTATAATTATATGCACGCAATCTGACCCTTTGA